TCTTCTTCTCTGTAGGCACTCACACGCAGTACTATTATTACTTGCTTGTTACTGCATGCTGCTGATTCATACTCATAGGAAAAAGTAATTTTGTCTTCAACACCTACCTCTTCCTTGTCATTTAAGGCATATGTTAATGAAAGACAGATTTTGGCATCTACTCTCCTCTGTAGCTCGGAGGCCACAATGTGGATTCATTATAAATGAAGATGCAACTGTTATTTTACTTCCATTTGTATTTATTACTGCGTCAAAGCCATCTTGCAGGTAGCTTTGTGCTTCTCAAATCCCAAACTATATTCCAAGAAATGCTCAACATGTCAGGCCTGAATTGGCATTAATGTGGCACAAATGTACATACAATGTTTTAAATAAAGATGTCTTCACTTGCATTTTATTGTTGACAATTCTCGATTTTACATATTTTACAATAGGGTAGAACTGAGTCCTTGTGAAGACAGTTTAAAGGCTTCCCCTCCCCCTCTCTCTTTGCAGTACAGTGATTTTGTTCTTCTTTAAGTGAGGAGTATGCAAGTAATGAGTGCGCTGCTAGGAGGCATGCCAAGCGCAAGGCTGAAGACTGACGGGGGAGGGGAGCTAGCTTATGCAGAATGCTGAAAAGAACTGATTGAAAGCTTTTTGCTTTGTCATTCCTCTCAGTTCCTTTCCTTCTCTTCCTTCCCAATTTGTAACTGTGAATAAATGTAACCTCCTTATTTTACAGAACTGACTGACTCTAGAAGGAGCCATGACCTTGAAGGTCAACTGACCCCAACTCACACTGCAGCAGTACTCCACTCCATTCAGAAGCGCTCCTTCTTCCATGGAGTCTTTCTAAACTGATCATTTTGATCAGTTAAACTTGCAGCAGAGTGGGTGTTCAGACTAAAGGTTACGATGCCATTTGGGTCTCCTGTTGGAGTGCTGGAATTTTTTTTTAAAGATTTATTTTTTATTATTTTTTTTATTGGAAAGGCGGATATACAGAGAGGAGAGACAGAGAGGAAGATCTTCCGTCCGATGATTCACTCCCCAAGTGAGCGCAACGGCCTATACTATGCAAATCCGAAGCCAGGAGCCTCTTCCAGGTCTCCCATGCGGGTGCAGGGTCCCAAAGCTTTGGGCTGTCCTCGACTGCTTTCCCGGGCCGCAGGCAGGGAGCTGGAAGAGAAGTGGGGCTGCTGGGATAGAACTGGCGCCCATATGGGATCCCGGGCGTGCAAGGCGAGGACCTTAACCACTTGCGCCACCATGCCGGGCCCAAGTGCCAGAATTTGGCCCCAACTTCAGCTTCCTGGGAGGCAGCAGTGGATGGCTCAAGTAATGGGGTCTCTGCCCGCTGTGTGGGAGACCTGATTTGGGTACCAGGCTCTCAGCTTTGGCCTGGCCCACATTGGTTGTTGCACACATTGGGGGAGTGAACCAGCACATGAGAGATCTGTGTTATCTCTGCTCCTAAAAAAAACAAAGGGGGAGGGAAGGGGGGCAGAGATGGAGTAGAGGGGCCTCTTATCCTGAGCGTGTTATCCAACATTTCAAAGCCCTCATTCTCCTCTGCTGAACAGTTGTTTTTTAAAAAAATCCAATTCAAGGGAATTTTAGGGTTAGTTAAAGGTATATAGTGTGTACAAAACCTAGCACTCAGAGTAAATTATAAGTAACTAAGCAGAGCCTGGTGCTGTGGCCCAACAGGCTAAAGGTTTGCCTGCAAGCACCGTCATCCCATATGGGCGCTGGTTCTCGTGCCCTGGCTGCTGGTTCTCGTGCCCTGGCTGCGGCCGTTCCATTTCCCATGCAGTTCCCTGCTTGTGGCCTGGGAAAGCAGTAGAGGATGGCCCAAAGCCTTGGAGATGGAAGATCTTTCTCTGTAAAGTCTTTCCTTCTCTCTGTAAATCTGCCTTTCCAATTAAAAAAAAATCTTTCTTAAAAAAAAAGAGTAACTAAGTGATTCAAAAGGAACCAGAACTGCATGTTTCCTGTGTGACGGGGAGGTAAGACTTTCTCCATAGCATGATACTGTCCCACACTGTCTCATGAAATGATTAAAGATGGTTGATCCTGGGCGTGCTGCCTTGCAGGCTGAGAGTGCTGTTATTAATAACAGTACCCCACATACCTTGCGTGCTCTAGAATTTAGCATGCACTTTCACAAGTGGGGAAAATACCCTTGCCAATGATGACTGAGAGGCAGAAGGAGCAGGAGGGGTTTTGAAAGAGATCTGTTAGCCATGCAAGCATGAAGCTATCTGCACTTGTGTGAGGGGCATAGTACCCAGCAGAATCCATGAGAAGTAACAATGCCTGGTACATTTCACTTCAGAGCCAGAATGATCTGGAAAACCATAGGAACACAGTCCAAGAGTTTTAGGGCAACTCTGCTGAAGCTTAAGAATCCAGATGGTTCCCATGGCTTTCAATTTTGCTCCAGGAAGGCCTCTATTTGCATTTGGCTGAATTTTCATGTACAAACTAGATATAATAATGATTTAGAATTGCAGACTGGTAGAAGTTGAGATGTGTTCACAATTAGGAGGCAAAGTGTATGGAACTGAGGCAAGCAAAGCATACAAGTCCTGGGAACAATGTGAACTTGGGTTTCGATGTGCACAAATGTGTCAAACCGAATGCAAAACTTTTAATAATAGAAACTGCAACCCTTATTGTTTTCACAGCCTCCTGAAACAGTTCTCTCTTTGTGTGCACATGTGTTTTAACATATAGACAATTTTAACATATAGACAATGCTCAAAAGTAAGTTTTTAGAGATGGAGAAAAATGTACACTGTATTTGAAAAATATTTCCTTGTTTCGGTACTGTAAGAGGATAAAGAAATATACCTTGCTCTATTAGAAAGAAAATGATCTTTTTGAAATTCAGTTCTTTCAGAAGATGAAGTTTTAAATATTAAACTTTGCCTAACCAACTGGTCCTAGTGGTCCAGATATGTGATGGAGGAATTCGAATTTCATGGAGTTAGAAATATTCTAAACGAATACTTAGGCATGTACATCTGCAACACTTCCAAGATTTGCTAATATGTACAGCAAAACTTCTAAATCGGTCTTTGCCTGTTCTTTCTCAGCCCCAAGTCCACCTTTCTGTCCAGGAGGAAATTTGGAGATGGAGCTTGACCCAGGTGGGCCAAGAGTGGGTTGGGCCTGACCAGCAGGAGACTCAGGTGGGAGAGGCCCAGCTGTGCAGCTGCGGGGAGCAGGAGGCCAGGGCTGGATCCAGCCCAAAGGAGCTCAGTGTGTGTCTCACAGTCCCAATTTGGTTGATGTATTTTTGCAGCTTCTAAAGGTTACCTCACATGCTGTAATACATTCTAGAGAGACATGAGCTGAATTTTACTGTGCCAGTCAAGAGGCTGGCTTGAGTCTGCTATTTAGAACTAAGAGAGACAGTACAATTTACATGTGTGAGATTGTGAGAATAATTTTACCTTCTGTTGTTTTTAAAAACCACCTTGGGCCATGATTTTTAAATCCAGACACAAGAAGATCTGCTGGGTTCCCATAGCAACATTAACTTATCTAAACTGCCCTTGTTGTATGTAATACTTTCCTTGCTAGTTTGACTTTTAGATGTTTCAAATGTATACTTTAATTATGAAATATAACTGAGTTAAGAACCTCAGGCGAATTTTAACATTTACATTTACTGACATACACATTTCAACAGAAAACTTGCTAACTGTACTTCTGAGCACTTGATGCCAAGGCGAGAGTATGCCAAAACCTTTTCATGGGCTTCCTCTTCCTTGCCGTTCATCTCTGACCTCACTCTGTTCTGTTTCATAGACAACTTTTCAATCAATCTCTCCAAATACTCTATTTATAACCAGTCGTGACTAGAACTAAACAGAAGCCACCTGACCCGTCAGACAGATGGCTCCCGTCTTAAGACTAGAGGTCATCACAGAACTATGGTAGGCTTTCTACAAGCTGATTCCTCCCATCTTTCTTCCATTATTCTTCACCATTAATGATGCATACAACCCAGACTTTTTTTTTTTATTATTATCTTCTGATATTCAAGGATGAGTTTAGACCCACTTTCTCATGAATCTTTGACTCAGCCTCATTCTTTTTCACAGATTTCTCTCTGAAACTACTGTGACCAAAGCTACTGCCTCCATATTATGTGTCGTGACTAGGCAGCTCTCATTTCCATATTTTAAAAATAATACATAGCTCTTTAATTAGCTTTTTAATTTCAATTTTATTTATTTATTTCACAGGGATATAAGGAGAGAGCAAAACAAAAAAAGAAAAAGAAGAAGACAGGAAGAGAGAGAGAGAAATTTTCATCCACTCCCTAAATCCCAAGTGCCAAGTGCCAAGTGCCAAGGCTAGACTGCAGCCAGAGAAGAATGCAATCAGGATGACCCACCTGGGTGACAGGGGCCCAATAATCAGCACCATCATCTGCTGCCTCCCGTGCAATAAATGAGCAGGACACCAGAATGAACAGGGACCCAAACCTAGCTACTTAGATTCGTGACACAGGCATCTCAAAAGTGCTGCCTTAACGGTTATACCAAACACCCACCTTTCTCCTCATTTAAAATAATAGTATCTTAATTTTCTTGTAAGAAATTTTCTTCCACTTTCTATGTAAATTCTGGTTGGCAGCAGCAATTAAGCTGTTCTGCCCCAGTCTGTCAAGAGATGAACCTGTGGGCCCGGCGCTGTGGCACAGTGGTTAAGGTCCTTGCCTTGCACGCCCGGGATCCCATATGGGTGCCGGTTCTATCCCGGTAGCCCCGCTTCCCTTCCAGCTCCCTGCCTGTGGCCCGGGAAAGCAGCAGAGGACGGCCCAAAGCTTTGGGACCCTGCACCCGCGTGGGAGACCCGGAAGAGGCTCCTGACTTCGGATCGGCATAGCATCGGCCGTTGTGCTCACTTGGGGAGTGAATCATCGGACGGAAGATCTTCCTCTCTGTCTCTCGTCTCTGTATATCCGCCTTTCCAATAAAAAATAATAAAATAAATCTTTAAAAAAAAAAGATGAACCTGTGACCTCAGCCAATGGATTACATTCCTCCAGGAACTTGAATTCTAAGCAAACCCAAAGGAAAAAACAGGAGACTGAGTCATGGTATGGTGGTCCTTTCAAAACTACATCCTTTTCTTTCAGCTTTCTGTGGCTCATAAAAAATCCAAAATCCACTGGCTGGTATGGTTTCCTATTTGAGTATCTGTTCATATGGTCTTTAGGTCAGGCTTTAGAGGTCTGGAAGATGCACCTGTGGCTCCACAGCTACATTCCCTGTGTGCTCCAGGAAGATGTGGCCGGGACTTTACTGTGTTAGTCCATATGACTCAGCATATCAGGAGTCAGAAACTCCATTTTTAAAAGGTGTGATTTGCAGCTTGTATCCTCTTTGGGTCAAAGGGGTGAATAAATTGTTTAACTGTTGCAAGAGTCTGCATGGTTGGGTATGTCAGTTGTTTAAAAAAAAAAAAAACCAGCTTACAGCAACTTGTACATCTAAGAATAGCCCCAAAGTACTGTGAACAAAGGGCCACACTTCCCCATTTTTAGGGAGGAAAGAAAAACTAAAATTGTATTATAGACATCAGCCTCAGCATTTAAACAGACAACATGACAGAGAAACAATGTGCCTTGATCTTGGGCTTTTCCTGATCTTGTAGTTTTCCCTGGAAACAGGCATGCAGGCTATGCCACCCGATAAAGGACAAATGGGGACTGTTTGGGAAATGGTTTACTAAGTCCAATGGATAATTAAGGTAGATGAGTTTTCCACCTCTAAAAAAACAGGAAGTTATCATTTCTTAAAATTATCTGACTTGTCAGTAATTTAATAATTACTATAAAATTCAATAAACAAATAATTATATACAATAAACCCAAACAAGCGTGGGCCTATCAGGCGTTGAAAACAAAGAAGATGGTATACTCTTTGAAACATGTGCTTGAAATGCACAAAAGAGCTCACCAATGATAAAAGATCAGGAAACACAAATTCTCTTCTACTGATTAGCTTTAACAAAAGGAAACATTTGAAGTCTTTGAAGATTACAGTCCTCTGGATTTTTGTCCCTTAACAGGTTACATAGTTCAGTCACAAGGAAGGAGCGAAAACATGAACTTGGAGCTATTTTGAGTCCAGTGCAATGGTTTCTGAAATTTTCCTTGAACCCACACTCGGTGCATTTTCACTTGTTTTTTCCTATTAACTTGTAAGCGACGATCAACCAGATTTTGCTTTTCATCTAACCCGGCCTTGCAGAACATACTGTGGACTTCCCCTATGAGACAAAAATGGCAATCAAAGATATGACATGTGGCTGGGTGGGGGACGGGGGAGAACGGTGATGGACTGATGGACTATCTGAATTTCATTTAAACCAAGGAAGACTGTTTGGCACCAGTTGGTGAAGGAAACTTGTGTCATCAAGTAGTTTCTTCTACATCACAGAAACATACTGAGCATACATAGGCTGAGGCAACAGGGCATAAACAGTGACACAAGACTAGCACTTGCTGTTCTCAGTGTTTTGAAAGGTGCCTCCATTTGGGTTGCTGTTGGTTGCAAGACTCAACGTGTCACATTAAAGAGGTACACAAACAAGTTCTGGGAAATCCTAGAATGTATGACTTTTTTTTTTTTTACTGTCAGATATGCTTTCTTAAAATGAAAAACTGATAAGAGATAAGTAGTTTTCTGGAGACTTATCCACTAAAATTCCCTCCATTCGCTGCAGCCTATCAACCATATTTTTCATATCTGGGCTAACAATATCTCCAAAATGAAACAGCCCGCACCTTCACGGGGGTATGGGCATGACATAAGTGACTCCTTCAAGCAATTTTAACTACGAAGAGAAGAAAAGGCACAAAGGCTATTTTCAAGCTTTTATGTGGAACAGAGACAGGCACCAAAGGATGAAGACATTCAATGTTTAATCAACGGCTGCAGCTTTATTCCTACATCTTTTCAGCTTCTCCTTACAAATACTAACCAAAGTTTTTACAGTTTATTATTTCCTTCTGTAGATTAGCATACCTTTTGTAAAGAAATATGCTCTGGTACCATCTCCTCGAACATAGAAATTTTCAGATAAACAATGTCCTAAAAAAAAAAAAAAAAGAAACCCAGTATTCCTCAAAATAGATGAATAAAAAACAAAAATAATCTGACATGAAATATATCCAGGAATTCATTAAAATAAATGAAATAATCCCAAATTGTATCTTTTATTACCCTTTTTAAAACGAAGCTGGGTCTTGTCATATCTTCCGTAGTCCCGAAACAAAAGCATTCCCCCAGGTTTCAATAGCTTGACCAATCGGTTGACAACACTTTGCATCCTTTGAAAACAAAGGAAGATACCTTGTTTATGGAAACTTGTTTTCTGTACCAGATTTAACTTTCTTCAAGACAAAAAATCAGAAAAGCTCACAAAGAACAAAAAAATCTAAACCTTACATGTTAAGGGCAACAAAGACAGAAATAATTTGGGAAGCAGGAACAAAAAGGACATCAACTTGTTCTATGACCAGATTCAAAAGATCCACATTATCAAAAACTCATCCAAAATGGCTACAGCGGCAACTGCACAGAGCTTCATGGGTGATGTTAAAATTGAGCTGCAGGACACAGGTGTTTCCTGGCAGACAAGGCTAACCACGGTGGTTCTGAAGCTGACAAGAGGGAACACACTGCTTTCTCCCTGCGTTATTAAAATTGTATGTATATAACAGCATCATCTCAAATTGTACAAACCTAAACAGGGACTCCATCTGTCCCTGAAAATCAGCTCATCCTCCCTCTGACTTCATTATTTAGCTCAAAAGTATTCTCATCCACTTCACGAAAGAGAAATTGCTTTTCTCTCACTATATTCTACATTGACCACTAAATCCAGTCTCTTTTTAAAAATGATGTTTTTGGGGCCCAGTGCTGTGGTTCAATAGGTTAATCCTCCCTGCCTGCAAGTGCAGCATCCCATATGGGCACCAGTTAGGGTTCTGGCTACTCCATTTCTTATCCAACTCCCTGTTTGTAGCCTGGAAAAGCAGTAGAGAATGGCCTAAAGCCTTGGGAACCTGAACTCATGTGGGAGATCAGAAGAAGCCTCTGGTTCCTGGTTTCAGATTGGCTCAGTCTAGCCACTGAGGCTATTTGGGGAATGAACCAGAAGATGGAAGATGTTTCTCTCTGTCTCTCCTTCTCTCTGTAAATCTGCCTTTCTGATAAAAATAAATCAAAGAAAAAATAAAATATCTTTGATACATATATTTCCCTTTATGCATTACCTTTATATTTCCCCTCTCTTATTTCCTATCTGTACTCCTTCAGTGCAAACAGCCTTGTAGCCTCAGACCTGGAAATAGGAACTGCTTTCCAGCATGCTTTATGATTCCCCTAGTTGATTCCTCTTGCCTATTACCAATGAATTCTGCTGTTAACACCATGCTTTGCTCAAACAATTCTTGACTTCAATCCACATGATAGCATTTTTAAAAAAACTCAATAATTTATTTTTACTTTATTTGAAAGGCAGAGAGACAGAGATATACCAACTAATAGCCAGGGGGCAAGATCAGGCTGAGGCCAGGAGCCTGGAACTCATCTCAGACTCCTACATGGGTCACAGGGATCCAACTGCTTGGACCACCTTGGGTAAGCATTAGCAGGGAGCCAGAAATGGTAGAAGGAGCCAGGACTTGAACCAGATACTTCCCTATAGGATGTGGGCATTATACCTGTTTTCACAGGACAAACAGTGAATTTCTTAGTCGAGCTCTTAAGAGTTCCCACTCACAGCTGCTGCCTTGTCTTTCCAACATCTTTCCATTATTTCCCCACCTGACGCAGCTCCTTTAGCAAAACTACTGTGTGCTTGGCTATGAACAGTCTGAGCCTTTGCCCGCAAAGAATTTTCCCTCTAAGAATTCTTTCTTCTTTCCCTTCTGCCTATTTAAATTTTATTCACATTGCATGTCACTGCTTAATACCTGGAAGCCTATGCTTTCTTCCTCTCACTGTTTTATTTCCCTGGCTTCCAATCAAACATGGTGCCTTATAACTGATCCTGATGTACTGTTTCTGGTTAAGTGTTCATAGTTTTATGTGTGATTATGGGGCCAGGGAGGACAAAGATTTAGGATCCTGCCTCAACACTGAATGGTTGGCACTGACACCTATGGAGTTCTGTTGAGAAAGACTAAGGGTACTTTCTGGGAAGGATGATCAGAAAACAAAATCGATTACCAATGTCTGCTGTGAGTAGAGATGGGCTAAGTCCTTGCTGCCTTGGCTTCCTCCAAGGTTCCACGTATTTATTTATTTATTTGTACTTTTTTTTTTTTAAAGATTTGAAAGGCAGATTTACAGAGAGGAGAGACAGAAAGATCTTCCATTCACTGATTCATTCCTGAAGTAGCTACAACAGTTGGAGTTGAGCCAATTCAAAACCAGAAGCCATGAGCTTTTGTCCAGGTTTCCCACATGGGTTCAGGGCCCCAGGGCTTTAGGCCATCCTCTACTGCTTTCCCAAGCCACAAGCAGGGAGCTGGACTGAAAGTTTAGAAGCGAGGACATGAACTAGTACCCATATGGAATCCTGGAGCATGCAAAGCAAGGATTTAGTCATTGAGAACATCACACCAGGATCCTCTCCATATCCAAGCTTCTTAAAGTTATCAAGGATTTATTTTTAAAAACAGTTTGTGTCAGATAATCTGTAGATTCCTTTCAATTAAAATACTGTTCAATAGAATGGGGAGGTGAAAGCCAGATTATGACTATTATGAAGGAAGTATAGAGAAAATGCAAGCAACTACAAAAACAAGATAAAAATACAATAGAAGGAGATGGTGGAGATTAGCTGAAGAGTTCTTATTAAAAACTGGAACATAATACAGGAAAGGGAAAAAGAAGAGGATTTTTTTCAATATAGGTTATTTTTAACACTGTGCTTATACCCTTAGGTTTTAGCAATGAATACAAACCATATCTAAACCTTAAAATATACACATTTAGGATAAAGGTTTTCTGCATGGAACAAAATCTATTTCTTTAATTATTAGTAAAACAAGAGTGACACTAAAAGGTAGGAAAGTAAAAAACCAAGGTACTTGGAAATGTAGCCACCTCCTTCTGCAAATCCCTTATTCCCATCTTTTCTGTTCAGGGCTGAGGGCAGATGGGTGGGGTGGGCTGCTGTTCCTGCTCACCCCCCTGGTTTGGCACTCAGCTCTAGGTTCAGTTCCTAAGAATGGCAGTGGGGAATGGGCTGGGAGGACATGAACAAGATAAGAAGGGAGAAAGTCCCTTTCCTTTCTGTGTCCCTCTTGTGTCAGCTGCTGCCCTCACCTGTCTCTGGACAGAGGGAGAGAAGAACAAGAACAGATTAAAAAAATTTTTACTAATAGTTTGGGTCTGGAAAAAGCATCTTTTATTGCCATGAAAAGAGATAGTTAGCTCCACTTTCGTAGCCTCCTATGATCAATTCCCTTTGAAGTTGGACCAGCTGAACTGCTTCCTGTTCATTTGTGTCAAGATTTTCCCGGCTGCAAAAGAACTACTTTTCTAGTGCTCTTCTGGGGTTGAACGCTGTAGCCCTACATGACCCTGAAGACATGGCTTTGCCTTTTCACTAACTGTTAGCTTTCTTCCATCCACTTACTTTGTTATTACTGTCTTGAAAGATTCATTTATTTGAAAGGTAGAGTGGCAGAGAAGGAGGGAAGGATAGTGAGAGACACCATCTGTTGGTTCACTTCCCCCAGTGCCCTCAATAGCTGGAGCTGGGCCAGGTCAAAGTCAGGAGCCAGAAACTCCTACGTATGGCTTCAATCAAGAACTTAGACCATCATCCCTTGCATAAAACTGGATTGCAAGCAGAGTAAGACACTTGATCCCAAGTATTTTGATAGCAGATGTGGGCATCCCAAGCAGTGGTTTAACTTGCATTGCCATAACACCTACTCCTATTTTTAAATAACTTCCAGGTTTGTAAAAGAAATTGGCCACTAACACAATACATCTGAATCTATTCTACAACAAATAGAGTGAAATACCGTACTATAAATCAGTCTTCTCAAGACATCTGCTTCTCCTTCGCTTTAACATTCAATTCAAATCATGAGAAAAATACATTATCTAAACTAATTTCAAATAGTCTTTTTGTGGTCTTACTTAGAATTTAAATATTTCCTGTTATGAATGTCAAATAGGAAATCTTGTTCTCTCACCATCCACCCACTTACTCCATCCTTTTAGTATTCATATAAGGAAACAAAATTCATAGATAACATCTTTCTACTAGTACTTGAACAATGCCAATCATCTAAATAGATTAGGAGAAAGAAACAGATATAGAAACTGGGAGAGAGCAGGCATTTAGCATTGTGGTTGAGATACCCACATGCCAGATGAGAGTACCCAATGCTACTAATGATTCTAGCCTCTGTGTCAAGTTGCCCAGTAGGGCAGACTCCCAGAGACAGTACTGATGGCTCAAGTAATTGGATCCCTGCCACCCACATGGGAAACCTGCATTGAAATCTCAGCTCCTGGCTTTAGCTCTAGCCCAGCCCCGCCAGCGCAAGCATTTGGGAAGGGAAGGAACCAGCTGATGGGAGCTTTCGCTCTCTCTGTCTCTGCCTCTCAAACAGATAACTTTTAGTCAAAAGAAAGAAGAAAGAAAGAGACACTGGGAAGGAAAAGAAGCTTCTTGGAGCCTGACAGAGCTAGCCAGGTGCAAACGTAAATTTCTCTCAGATTGATTTGAAGGGTCTTAGTGAGTTCAGAATTGCAAAGAGACAAACTGGTGATAACAAATTTCTGTGGCAAAAAATCCACACTCATCAGACCAAACGTGATTGATCCAAGGCTGCATCTCCCACCCAGGGGCTGTGAAAGCTCAAGCTTATGAAACCTTACAAAATCACAAGCCCTGATGCTGTCCATGTGTGCTTCTGCACAAAGAGCGTGTTGTCACCTTGGTGAGGAAGGTCAGCATTCTTGTGTTTGTCACATCTCTTTATGTGTCCTCGCTGGAAGACAGTTATTTTAATACATCATGAAAATCTAAAAATGTACATCGTAAGTCTTTACATGATGGTACTTGGCCAAACTTACAACATAAAAGTCCAAGGATAATCTGGCAAACGTTGGTAACCCCAATGCTGTCCTTAAGGCACAGCAAATTAAACCACAGGCTGTAGTGCTGACACCCCTAAGAGCTCTGGGTCAGTCTTAGCTGCTCCACTTCTGATCCAGTTTCCTGCAAACATGCCTGGGAAAGGAATGAAAAATGGCCTACCTCCGTGGGCCCCTGCCACCCACCTTGAGAGGCGAGATGGAATTCAAGGCTCCTGGCTTCACTCTGGCCCAGCCTTGGCCATTGCAGTTATTTGGAGAGGGAATCAGCAAATGAACATCTCTCTCTCCCTCTGTGTGTGTGTGTGTGTGTGTGTGTACATATGTGTAAAAATTAATTACAAATTAATTTTGTCTTTCAAATTAATTAAATCAAGAGAAAAATCTCAATAACATCTATTTTCATAGTGGGATTCTTTAAAAAAGAATTTTTTTTTTAACTTTTGGAATTAACTTGCTGAGAAGCAGAAAGAGATAGAGACTAAGAGAGAAAAAAGACAGAGACAATGATCTTTCATCTACTGATCGACTCCACCAAATCCTGCCATAGTTGAAACTGGCCCATGCCAGATGCCAGGAGCCAGGCACTCACTATGCTGGGGGGACAGGAATCCTATAACTTGAGCCATCATCATGGCCTCCCAGGGTCCGCATTGGCAGGAAGCTGAAATCAGGAGCAGAAATGTGTATCAAACCCAGGTTCTCAGCTGTGACACATGAGCATTCTGATCAGTGTGTTAACCACGAGGCTAAACATCTGTTGCTACAAACAAATGTTTAAGAGCCCATCAAGAGACGTGTGTGAAGCCAAGCAGATCTGCAGCCCGCCTCTTCATGAACATTCCGGAAGATGCTAAATCAAAGATGTTTGTTTCTGATCACCAAGTACAGTTTCCCTCTTGGGAGTCTATTAGGCTGTTCTGAATTTGTAATTTCCTTGAAGCACTGTCACTTTTAATAGGTATGTGTCTTGCCAGACTATACTCACTTCATTCTGACAGTGACAGAAAGCTCACTAATGAAGTAGTTTGACCAGTTTCTTTCTAAAAGTCTTAAGAAAGGAAAAAAAAAAAAACACCTGCATTTAAAAGGCTGCATATTATACATAATGTAGTTCACTAAATAATAAATTCAGGAATTGTCATTTTCGCTTTGATAGGTCTGAAAACTACTCCTGAGAAAGGAGAAAGGAGCTTTCACATGTTGGCTGTGCCCCTTTGTCTTCACTCACCTGTCAGGATGAACAGCAGAGAGCACAAAGATGAGGAGGACGACATCCAGGATCCCATCGGGGAAGGGGAAAGGTGAGCTCTCGTCACACACGTCGTGAACAAAAGCACAGCACTGGGCGGCTCTGTAGGACGAGTGCGACTGTCAGGAGGAAGGAAGAAAAAAGAGGTCAACACACTTTGGGGATTTTCTTCTTTTATATATATATTAAAAAGTCAACATTTTCCCCCAAGCCCCTTTCCTTGTGAATTTAAATGGAGTCTATTTCCAATTCAGTATTCTTTCAGCTTATTTCAAACTCTCTCCCTGCCAAACTGAATTCTAATAGTTGGATGTGGCAATATCCGTCATGATCCCTCCCTAAGCATGGATGCGGAGCACTGCTGGAGGCCTGCCTGTGTCGTCTACGGGCACAGGAAGGGCAACCCTCTCCCCACTCCTTTTCCTTGCCTCCTTTAGCTTAAAACACACATATCCCACACATGGCATACCCAGAGTTACATAATAGTGGTGGTTGCACAACCCTGAAGATATATGCTAAAAACCACTGAATTAACTGTTTTTCCCAACTTCAATTTTTAAACTTTGTTAGAGAAGTAGACACACAGTGTCAGGCAGATAGACACATGGAGAGAGCGCTCATCTGTTGGTTTTCTGCGTGGATGCTCACAAGGGCCAGAAGTGAGCTAGGCTGAAGCAGAGAGCCAGGAACTTCCAGGCCAAAGGATTGCTCCTGATTTTTTTTTTTAAAGTTTATTTACTTTTATGTAGAAGGCAGAGACAAAAGGAGAGACAGAAAGAGATATTTTTCCATTTGGAGTTCTCTCCCCAGATGGATGGAAATGAGGCAGTCAGAAGCCAGGAGCCAAGAACAGGAAGCAGCAGCCCAAGCACCTGGGTCATCTCCTGCTGCTTTCTAGGCACATTTTCAGGGAATTTGATGGGAAGTAGAGCAGCAGGGACTCAAACTGGTACCCATATGGGATACTAGCACTTCAGTTGGAGGCTTAATGTACTATGCTATGGTGTTGGGCTCCTTGAATTGTATTCTTTGAAATGGTGTACTTCATGGTATGTGAGCTAGATGTCAATAAAGCTGTTATTTTTAAAACTGGATCAGCATAATACATACAAAATTTGCCTACATATACAATATCACAAAAATACATACCAAAAAAATTAACAAGGATTCACCCTAGATAGTATCATTACAGGTGAAATAGTATCCTACCACTTAACTTTTTTAGTTTTTAAGAAAAACAATCTGGGTCCAGGGTGATGGCTCAGTGGCTGAACACTCATCTTGCCCATATGTTCATGTCCTAGCTGCTCTACTTCCCTTCCAGCTCCCTGCTTGTAGCCTGGGAAAGCAGTTGAGGATGACCCAAAGCCTTGGGACCTTGCTCCATATGGGTGACCTAGAAGAGGCTCCTGGCTTCAGATCAGCTCAGCTCTAGCCGTTGCAGCCATTTACAGACTGAATCAGCAAATATAAGATCTTTCTCTCTGTCTGTACTTTCTTAAATCTGCCTTTCCAATAAAAAAAAAAGAAAAAAAAATCTATATTACTTTGGTAAACAGAAATGACTTTTTTCAAAAAGTTTTACTTAATTTATACCTTTACCATACAGTTTTTAATTGCATTTCATTGTATGACATCATTTCATAGGCTCTTTGGTTCCCCCAACCCCTCCTCCTACCCTCCCCCCATGGTGGATTACTCCACCTCATTGCAGTATTACAGTTCAAATCCAGTCTTGTTTCTTTCATTGCAAGCATGTACCATGCATAGAGTCCAGCATCTTATTGTTCAGATCAATTCAACAGTTTCTTGGGGAGACCATCTCTGCTCTAAAAGCAGAGCTGGCTATCATACAGTTTTGTTAGTATAACTTCCTTTCCTTTTCCATTTCATCTTCATTCTAAAGTACACTAGCAATCAGGGATTCAACAATAAATACAAGTCCCCCAAGTGTTTTCCTTATAATAGCGGACAATTTGATTTGCATTATCATTGGCCTTCTCAGATTTTTCAAAAATACTTCAACAGTTTTAATGATTCCCTCCTGTGTGCAGACTGTACGAATGGCTCCAGGGACACAAACATGAATAAGATCCCTTTACAAGAGACAATTGAAAAAAATCTAAGTTTTTTTTTTTTCCTTAGGTGGTGGTGGTGGTGGTGGTGGTGTTTTAGCCATATGAAAATCTTGCCTGATTTGAATTGGCCTCTTTTAAAATAATCAAGTTCTGCTTGCATCATGATTATTCATATGTAGACCTATCCTTTTAATTTTCTAAGTCAGATTCTGCCTGGTCAGCCCTAATTGGTGCTGGCCTCCCTAGGAGTACCAATTCTTCAAGATCTATCTTAAATCCAGAACAACTTTAATGGTTTTAGGGTAGTGTCTTAGGGATCAACTATTGGTATGATTCTTTTTTTTAAAAAAGATTTATTTTTATTATTTTTTTATTGAAAAGGCGGATATACAGAGAGGAGAGATAGAGGAAGATCTTCCGTCCGATGATTCACTCCCCAAGTGAGCGCAACGGCCGATACTATGCCGATCCGAAGTCAGGAGCCTCTTCCGGGTCTCCCACGCGGGTGCAGGTTCCCAAAGCTTTGGGCCATCCTCGACTGCCTTCCTGGGCCACAGGCAGGGAGCTGGAAGGGAAGCGGGGCTGCCGGGATAGAACTGGCGCCCATATGGGATCCCGGGCGTGCAAGGCGAGGACCTTAACCACTTGCGCCACCATGCTGGGCCCTGGTATGATTCTTAAAACTCATAAAGGCTCAGTTTAAAATGGTCACAGATAACATATGATCTGGAAAGATTTCCAAAGAACCTCTTCAAAAGTGAATAAGCAAGACCTTCACATAGATGCTCTGTGAGGTGAGAGCAAGGCATACCTTTACAAGCTCCACAGCTTCAGGGGCAAAGTCACAACAGTAAAGGAAGGACTCCGGAGTGTTTCTATGACATGAAAAAGAAATGATTAAGTCTAGAATTCAGATCTGCCCAATTACAATAGAAAGGAGATTGTTAATAAGTGTCTCTTGAATATAATTTTGGCTGACATTTGGTTCATCGTTCCTTCTTTGTGAATACTGTTCTCTACACTGGTGTGTGGGTACCTTCCTATTGCTTCTAACCTGTAATGTCCCCTATACTGGTTAATGATGAGGTAATTTGCCAACCACAGCCTGGATCCAAGGCTCTCTGTTACTTGGGCCAATCTGCCACATGTGGTATCACAGGCCCACATGGGAAGCCTCTTAGACCCTCGGCCAGCACTGCTTCATCCTTCACCTTCACTGGTAGACCCCACAGCTCCTCTTGGCTGAACCCCACCCCCTTTCACTCCCTTCACTCCTTCTCCCAAGCCTCTGAGACCTGATGCTTCATTCTTCCTTTTCTCAGTACAACTCATCAGGCTACGCTCTGCTGCCCTGGTAGGGCAGAAACACACAAGAGGGTTTTTTTTTTTTTAAACAACATGTAAACACAACTTCTAAAAATGAATAAAACACTGACAGATGAATCCTTGATTTTCTTCTCAAGTTATTGTTATATATGTTTTGAGCCTCATGTATGTTTCAAGTACTAGAATACAAAGTAGTAAATGGAAATATATTAAATAGTAAGAGAATGCACTTTGGAACTAAATTAACTCATATTTGACTACTGAATCACAGAAAGGGTTAGAGTGGTTCTGGCTCTTGTGGATTTCATAGTCTAGTGGAGGACATGACTGGTTTTACACAATTTCTGTAGAGGTTTGGAAAGGCCTGCCACCTTGAAGATTGAGTATTACAAGCTATTAAGGAGTAAGACAACATTGCACTAAGTAAGGAGAAGGGCCAACAGTAAAAGGATTTATGGGCAGGGCTCACATGCCAGCGATGAGAAGCAGTGCTTCATATCCTGTGGCAGGACCAGAGGTAGGCCTTTGATTCAAGAGGTATTTCAGATAAGATGGGGTTATGGTTTGACTAAGACAGGGCTCCCCAAACTAAGAAAGATGTTTAAATTCCAAAGTCTTGTGTTAATGATTAATAGATTAATGTCAATGATTGATAGATCAAGGGAGGACTTTTTAAAAAAGGGTTTATTTATTTATTTTCAAGGTAGTTACAGAGAGAGAGAGAGCGAGAGCTTTCAGGTACCAGTTTCACTATTCAAATGACTGCAATGGCCCGGGCTGGGTCAGACCAAACATAGGAGTCGGGAACTCCACCTGGGTTTCCTGTATGGGTGGTGGTGGTCCAATTACTTGGGCCACCTTCCACTACCTTCCCAGGGATATCAGCAGGGAGCTGGATGGAAAGTAGAGCAGCAAGGACTTAAACTGACACCCATATGGGATGTCAGCATTGTAGGCGGTGGTTTAACCTGCATGCCACAATGCTGGCCTGCATTGGCTAGAGATTTGATCTAGTTATGATGTCTGAGAGGTGGTCCTAACAGGAGGTCTTTAGGTCACAGGCAGTCTGCCCAGTTTGGTTACATAAGCCAAACATGCTTGCTGCTTGCCAAGTGAGCATCCCTCTGCCCTCTTCAATAGGCTTAACAGATGTCTAAACCAATGGGGCCACCAAATCTTAGTCTGTGAACTGAAATAAATAACCTTCTTTCCTCAGCATTCCCCTCATGCCCTCATGTATTTTAAAGTAATGAAAGCTGACTAACAGAGGTGGACTTGTAAACAATGTGGAATACAAACAAGTATGATTCTAACAAAATCTCACCCAGGGTCTAACACTTACCAGTACTCATTGATGAGCACTATGTTCATATAGAATATAGCTATACTGTGGCACTGGGGATTTGGATTCTGTTTAGATAAGTTAAAGTGTGATGAAAATAAGCCTTGGTTATGAAGTTAGCCAGCACTGAACCAAAGCCAAAACTTTAACCCTTGGTCTTCTCTTTCATGTCTCTTTCTCACATGTCTTGGTCTTTTCTCACATATATCCCTGCTGTTTCCTATGAAATCCATGTTATTTGCTGGGTGGTCACATGTCACTGAAATATTTGGCTGACTCTTAGATGCATAATTGCACTATGATGCACTAAGGATGACAGCCCTGGGGTCAGACTATTCATGGTTTGATTTGGCTCTCCCACTGAGTTCTGTGACCTTGAGAACAGTTAGGTAATTTTGGTAACTGTTTCCTTGTCTTTAAGTCAGAGATGAATATAATATCCAAGGTGGCCTTTAAGGCCTGAATGAGTTCATACAGTTAAACTTCCTGGGAAGGTACCTCAGAATAAGCACCGCATTAATGTAGGACACTATTATAATTTTTGTTCCTATTATCATTATGATTACTATTATTATTAAAGGAAATCTGTCTCTGCCATCTGTGAACTTGGAAGAAAGTCCTATGTACTCAAAGTGCTTTTGGGACACTGGTATACATAGCTCATAATGAAAAGTATGCAGTCACTCTGGGGCAGTCGTTACTGAATACCCACAACAGAACGAAAGCAGGTGCCCTTTGTCATGTGTCCTACCAGAGTGGTTGCATGACCTCTGAGGCTGAATTCCCACTGCATCAGCACCCCAAGCTGCAGTCTTATGACCAGAGTCTTTTTGTAAAATCAGCTGACTGCTTGGCTCTTCTCCCGGCCAACAGGTGCAAGTGCCACTACCACCACCCCAACACCAAGCATTCTCCCAGCAGGGGGTTTAACAATTAAATGGTCCTTGGAGAATGATATGACCTCTCAATTCCAGAGTTCTAATTATGGTAAAATATTCTGAAAATGTGAAACATTAATCCTTTACTCTCCAAAAGTAATAAAACATAATTTCTGAGGTGAGAAAAAAAGGTTTAAGCCTCACTTTGAAAGGCTAATCACTGGTTATCTTTGAAAGATAAATCAAATATCTCAGGTCTTGTATGATGGTTTCTAAAACATGGACTGGAGGCAAACAAAGACATATTAAAAAGGAAACAGTCAGGGAGTGACGAGCCAAGAGCTTCCAATGATTAGTTGGAGGGAGAAGTAAGGAGGGAGAAATACAACTAATGAATGGGGGATTGGAGACATTACTCAGTCAATATGTACTGAGTCCTAACAATCTCTATTGCACAGGTAGGCAACCTGGAAAATCAAATTAAGATGAAGTACGCTCTAAAGGAATATAAAAGTGGCTTGGAGAAACAAGGCAGGAAGAAATGACATGCTAAATAAGATCTAGAGATCAGTCATAAAGTGTCACATAATCAGCTGCCAGTGCTGTGTATTTATGGTATTAGAAACTCAGAGATCACTGGGGTAAAGAAACCAGGCTATCAGAGATGAGGAAATTGTTTCAACCTAGAAACAAGAGACAGGAAAAAAAAAAGGTAATACATACAGAAAGGGAAAGATCATTTAGAACTGTAAATTCATCAGCAGCTCCCAGAGCTGCCTATCTTTAACTGGTCATTAGAGGATATTAGGGAATTACTTAATATTACTAGGAAATTACTTAACATTCACTGTATTAATTCTTTTTTTTTTAAAAAGATTTATTTTATTTTTATTGCAAAGTCAGATATGCAGAGAGGAGGAGAGACAGAGAGGAAGGTCTTCCGTCTGATGATTAATGAATTCCCCAAGTGACTGCAATGGCCGGAGCTGTGCCAATCTGAAGCCAGGACCCAGGATCTTCCTCTAGGTCTCCCACGCGGGTGCAGGATCCCAAGGCTTTGGGTTACCCTCAACTGTTTTCCCAGGCCACAAGCAGGGAGCTGGACTGGAAGTGGAGCTGCCAAGATTAGAACCAGCGCCCTTATGGGATCCTGGCGCATTCAAGGTGAGGACTTTGGCCACTAGGCCACTCCCGCCAGGCCTCATTGTATTAATTCTTAAGGGTATTAGAGAATGTCCCGTCTTTTGGGACCATACATCTGGAACAATCAAGGATAAACTATCATGATGTTGCATTATGTTAATGATTATTGCATTGAGGTGACAGATATAAGGACATTTATTCTACTCCTTTTTTTTCAAAAGCTTTTACATTTTCATACAGAAAAGTTAAAAAGATCACATCACTAAATTTAAAGATATGCACACAGAAAAGACCAAAAGGAATTAAGAACAAAAAAAATCCCACCAGTGGCTAAGTTAGAGTGATGGGTGAACCCCACCTCTCGCATTTTCCTCTAATGGAAATGTTCTGCAGTGTACTTGCACTGACTTTACAATAAGATGGAAGCTATAGTATAAGCTTCAGCAAAATCTAACAATATAACTTGAAGCTGGGGTTGTGGTGCAGCTGCTTGGGGCACCTGCATCACATATTAGAGTGCTCATCTGAGTCCTGGCCCCTTGGCTTCCAATGCAGCTTCCTGATAACACAACCTGGGAAGCAGCAGAGGATGATGGCTCAAGTGCTTAGGGCCCTGCTAGCCAGCTGGGAGACAAGCGCGGAGTTCTGGGCTCCTGGCTTTAGGATGGCCTATCTCTGTCGTGGACATTTAGGGTGGGAACCAGTGGACAGAAGATCTCTCTCTTACTCTGCGTAACAAATAAAAATAAATAGATAAACACTACAAAGACTATCACAACCTATTGGGCTTTGGTGAGAGGTGCTTGAATAGCTCTGTTATGTGTGTCTATTTCATCACGGAAATAACTGGGGGAGTTCACAGGAGATAGCACCATCCCTTCATTGACTTGTGCTTTGAGACTAGGGGTTAGTTCATGCTACCCCTGCACAATTTCAAGCTAGACAAGATAATCTGACATGTGACGGTCTTAAATTGGGTGTTGTTTCAGAAGTGATGATAAAAAAGTGGGGATTAAATTCTAAATTTTAACTTCAGTTCTCTTACGTGTAAAATGATATCTAAGTATCCAGGACGAGGAAAAAAAATCTCTGCAGTTTAGCAGTTTACACTTTAGTGGGAGGATCACATCTCTTGCTCTTTTCTGATTTTTCTCATCCACATGAACAGGCTTACAATATTAGTTTAAACCCATGATGGACAGCCTGTATGTGAAGCACAACCTTCAGAGCAATTCCAAGTTCATGGGAAAGTAGAGACACTAAGACACTTCTTTTGAAGTTGCTTTAGTTGTTGTTTATATTGGAAATAAGAACACTACTGGGTGGCACATTTCCATGATAACATTTTTATAGAATTTCTCAACATTACTGAAATATGTAAAATTCTATAGGAGGAAATGCCAAAAGCTTACCGCAAGGTGTCCAGAATTGGGAACACACTATTTCCAGCACCACAGCCAACCTAAAATCAAAAGAATAAACAAATGTCATAAAAACAAGGTCAAATTTTCATTACCAATGTTAAATTTCCCATTTTAAAAACAGGAACAAATTTATTGGATTTTTGGGTATGGTAGAGGTTTCTAAACTCAAAAGCAATAAGGCAAACCACAAGAATAACACTTAAAAATTTAACCATGGAAGTATTTAGAATTTTTACACATGCTTAAAACCTCAAATATACCAAAGTAAAGGGCAACCAACACAGTGTGAACAACACGGAAGGGCTCATGAAATAAAACCAGACAGGGTTCAGCAGTACGGTGTAGCTAACTAAACCTCTGACATCCTGTATGGGTGCTGGTGCAAGTCCTGGCTGATTCACTTCTTTTTTTTTTTTTAAGATTTATTTTATTTTCATTGGAAAGGTAGATTACAGAAAGAAGGAGAGATAAAAATATCCTCCATCCATTGGTTCACTCCCCTAGTAGCTGTAATGGCCAAAACTAAGCCAAATGTAAGCCAAGATTATAGAAAATTATTTATTTCACATTTCCATTTTCCCTAAAAAGTTTTAACTACAGAGAGAGTAAAATTAAGGCCAAAATTTCATTGGTGCTTACAATTGCCTCCAGTTGTGAAATGGAAACAAATTTAAAAAAAAAAAAAAAGCAAAATTAAAACTATAAATTTCTAACTTGGTATTAGAAATGTGAGTTCCTTGAATACTCTTTTGCACAAAAGTACACTGAGTACTTATTCATGTTTAATCATTTTGCACCTAAAAAACTAGACTACTGATAAAATAATATGGAAGGTATAGCTTTTATTTGCCACTTCCCGTGTTTGTCGTCTCTCGAGCCCAGTACCTCTAGTATTCTGAAGGTGGCATTGCTCCCAGGAAATAACTCGGCCTTCAAACAACTTTCTCTGTGTTCTTCAGAGTTCAAGTGGGAAGAATGAGGCCTTCTTTCACTCTGACCATCTGCTGAGCCATAACTCTCCTTATACTGAGTTCTTCCTTCAGGCATAGTAGGGCAGTGCATTGCTGGGAAGCAATTTGCAGAATTCGTTTTTAGGCAAGCCCAAGACGATTCTTTGGTCTCTTCTTCAGCTTTTCCACCAACCGGAAGAATTTCAGGAAATTCCCTCAACAGCCAATTACGATCCTTGAAAAATTTATTCTTGTGAACCTTGTAAAATGTATTCCAGTATTTGCTAGCTTCACTCTCATATTTAACTGAAAAAAAGAGAAAAAGATTTTACCATAAATTATATTTACTATTAGCTATTACTTTCATAGCATACAAGGGGGATGTGGAAAAAGAGGGAGTTGAAAGAGAAATTTATTCTGTTGGTAAAAAAAGAAATCCATGCCCAGTTTTTTATCGGTATGCGTTTTCCATGAACTTTTCAAAACCCTCTAGTACATTATTTATCATTTTTAACAATTATGAGCATATTTCAAAAAGTTCAGGGAAAATGGAATTAAAAGATAATGTGCATTTTCTGTGACTTTATACATTTACTATAACTTTAATGTCTTCCTAACTTTCATTTATCTTATAAAAGGTTAAAACAAAGAGCTTTATATAATTCTGCCAAAACGTTTCAAAGTGTGGAATAAGTTTCCTAGCACCATAAGTTTGCTTCTATCTTAATAATTTGGGTGATTAACTGCTATGAATAATTTAGTCATTATAAATTATTTTCTGTAGTTTAATTGTGGAATGTCAACAATTTTTAGGGTCTGGAAACAATGGCTCAATTGGCAAATCCTCCCTTCTTCAAGTGCTAGAATCACACACAGGTGCTGGTTCATGTCCCAGCTGCCTTACCTACCATCCAGCTCCCTGCTTGTGGCCTGAGAAAGCAGCAGAGAATGGCCCAGAGCCTTGGCACTCTCCACCTGCATGGGAGACCTGGAAGAAGCTCCTGGTTCCTGGTTTCCAGCATCAGATCGACTCAGCCACTGCTGCTGCAGCCACTTGGGGAGTGAATCCGGGGATGGAAGATCTTTCTCTCTGACTCTCCTTTCTGTAAATCTGTCTTTCCAATAAAAATAAATAAATCTTAAAAATTACATTTTCCCAATAACCTGTGTGGTTCTTTATTGTCTTAGAGAAAAAGCCACTCCATTAAAGAAAAAAAGTTTTATTTATTTTTATTGGAAAGGCGGGTTTACAGAGAGGAGACAGAAAGATCTTTCATCAGCTGTTTTACTCCTCAAATGGCCATAAAGGTTGGAGGAGAGCTGATCCAAAGCCAGGAATAAGAAACCTTTTATAGGTCTCCCACAAGGCTGCAGGGTCCCAAGGACCTGGATCATCCTCTGTTGCTTTTTTCATATAATAAGCAAAGAGCTGGATCAGAAGTGGATCAGCTTAATTAATTGTGGAATTCTAAGTGACATAATTTCAGATCTAGAAGGATTCACTTAAATAAGTTACTCTAATCTTGTGTTACATTGAAGAATAGCCTTCAGTGAGCCAGTATCAAGTCCCCCATTCTTGGAGTCTACAGGCCATCCCCACATTCCATTCTTCCATTCTACTAGAACTATCTCTTCCTACTGTCCCAACATAAAGACCTAAACAGAATTTTTTTAAAAATTCCCATTTATGTATTTGACAGGCAGAGAGAGAAAAGACAGAAAGCTCCTATCTGGTTGTTTACCTCCCTCATGCCCACAATAGCCAAGGCTGACCTAGGCAAAAATCAGGAGCTGGGAATTCAGTCAGGTCTCTGATGTGGTGACAGGGACCTGAGTGTCTGGGTTCTCACCTGCTGTCCGAGGATGCACATGAGCTGGATGTGGAATGCAGAGCAGAGCTGGGACTCAATCCAGGCATTCACATGTGGGACGAGGGTTTCCCAAGTGGTCAAATGCCTCTTCCATTTTAGAGAATTGCCTTACATTAACAAAATAATTCTCCCCTTCAGATTTCTTAAATGCTATTGTAATAATCGGTGGATGAAGAGTCATTTTCAACCAATATAGGTATATGACCTTTAAACAGTGATTTCAAAGAATCCAGAAGCTTTATGTGTGTATAGAATAATTTACAGTCAGTGCTATGTGAGAAAACAAAATACAGAAAACGTGTGTTTTATGCGACCATTCATTAAGTAGAAGAAAAATACATATCTGTCTACAGAAGAGGGCTTCAAAGGATTCAAGGAAAAGTGGAATTAGAAGATAATGCGCATTCTCCATGAACTTTGTGAAGCTCCTTCACACACATACTACCTACTTACATAGGCACAAAACACTTCTGGGAACATAATCACATAGTAACACCGGTTGTCTTTATTTTTTTTTTAAGATTTATTTTATTTTTATTGGAAAGTCAGATTTACAAAGAGAAGGAGAGACAAAGAGGAAGATCTTCCATCCACTGATTCACTCCCCAAGTGCCTGCAACAGCCAGAGCTGAGCTGATCTGAAGCCAGGAGCCAGGAGCCTCCTCCAGGTCTCCCATGCGTGTGTGTGTGGGGGGATGGGGGGTGGGGGAGGGTCCCAAGACTTTGGGCCGCCCTTGACTGTTTTCCCAGGTCACAAGCAGGGCACTGGATGGGAAAAGGGGCTGCCGGGATTAAAACCGGCGCCCATATGGGATCCCGGCATGTTCAAAGTGAGGACTTCAGCCGCTAGGCCACACCACTGGGCCACACTGGTTGTCTTTACGGAGGGAGGTGGGGTGAGCAGGTATCACAGTTGAGAGAGAATTTTCATTTGAATTTTGATGTAAATGAATTTCTGACCCATTCCAAAAATAAACTAAAAATTAAAAAGGACCCACTTCTCTCATAATTTTCAAGAAGCCCCTGCACCCAGCAAAACAGCTGCATCTGACCAGGCCCATCCTTGTAAAACAGAGCCCTGTTCCAAAATCGTTATAATTGTCCCCCCCCCCTTTTTTTTTTTTTTCATTTTTATCTTTGTGGCCTTCTGCTAAGATCCCCACCCACTTGGCCACAGACATCCATCCCATCAGGACTGTATCTGGCATGACCACTATAAAGACAGAAACCCCCTAAGGTTTATGAAATGGAAGTGGATCTCTGCAAGAAATACATAACATTAAGTGAAACAGGCTCACGTCTGCACTAATGGAAGGAAGCCTATTATACTGGATCTAAAAATGGGTGTTTATCTTTAAAAAAACAGTTCTGTCTCTACTTTTAACAACTGGAGTCTACCACATACACTTGTGTAAGAAAACAAAACAGCATTCTGGAAATTGGGCTCAGGAGAAATTAGATTTTCCCAGGATCTTCTCAAACTTTCTCTACTTCCTTTACCTTGAAAGCTCTGTAACTCACTGCATACAGGTAAGACATTCTCTGCCTAATATAAAGTCGCCACCTGGGGCCAGCGCTGTGGCACGGCTGTTTAAGGTGCTTCCTGCAACACCAGTGCCCCACAAAGCACTGAATTCAAGGTCTGGTTGCTCTACTTCGAACCCAGCCCCACACTAATGTGCCTGGGAAAGCAGCTGACGCAAGTGTTTGAACCATGGTAACCCTAATGCAATTTCTGGCTCTTGGTTTTGGCCAAGCCCAGTCCTAGACAAAGCAGCCTTTTGGGCAGTAAACTAGTGGATACAAGATGTCTCTTTCTCCCTTCTCTCTGGGTAACTGTGTGTCTCACGTAAATGAGTAACTCTTAAAACTTTTTCTTAAAGCAGCTACCTATGTTGACATACTGTTAGTCAGATCTTTAATATTTGAGTTTCCAATAAGCAACGACTTGTGAAGTGGGCTTGAGCCTAATTACCACTAGCTACAATGTACTACTACTTCTTGCTTCATTTGTGGGAATATTCTGTAAATTAACTGATGTATGTGTGTGGGAGAGTACAGAGGAGCAACCTGATAAAAAGTGTGTATAGCAGTTCTTTTTAAAATAGAAAAAGTGAGAGAATTCAAATGCTAACAACATGGGAATCAACACACAAATGGGGCAATCTTATGGCACAACTGAAAAATAAAGATATGATATATAGTTATGTACATATATAAATATTCTGATAACAAAACTAAATACAATTTCAATAGATTAATTACATGTATCTATTTAAAATTTATCTATTAAATTAATCTATTTATTTTTTTGAGAGACCAAGAGACACACAGCAACAGGGAGGTAGAGCTCCCTTCCACTGGTTCACTCCTAGATGACTGTGGTGGCTGAAGTCAGGAACTGGGTATTCAGGTTACCCCTGTGGGCAGGAAGCAACAAAAAACCACTTGAGCCATTACTATTGTCTCCCAAGGTTCATGCTAGCAGGAAGCTGGAATCAGGATTTAAACCCAGGTACTATGATATAGGTTGTAGGCATCCCAAATGGTACCTTGGCCACTAGGCTAAATACCCCAATATTTCATGTTATGTTGATTCATCACAATTAGATGAAAATATATAGCAATAGCAACAATTTAATGATTAAATTGCATATACACCACATATAAAGAGTATCAGCTAGGACCCGGCGGCGTGGCCTAGCGGCTAAAGTTCTTGCCTTGAATGCGCCAGGATCCCATATGGGCACCGGTTCTAATTCCAGCAGCTCCACCTCCATTCCAGCTCCCTGCCTGTGGCCTGGGAAAGCAGTCAAGGACAGCCCCGAGCATTGGGACCCTGCACCCACGTGAGAGACCTGGAAGAGGTTCCTGGTACCTGGCTCTGGATAGGCACAGCACTGGCCGTTGTGGCCACTTGGGGAGTGAATCATCGGATGGAAGATCTTCCTCTCTGTCTCTCCTTCTCTCTGTATATCTGACTTTGTAATAAAAATAAATCAATCTTTTTTTTTAAAAAAAAAAAGAGTATCAGCTGAATTTTTTGCCCACTATTACCTACACAATTTCCTCATTTGATGAAGAGGTAGATTTACAATATTCTCTAAAATTCATTTGAACTCTAAACATTCTATATTCCTACTAAACATTATACATTTATGGAGAACATTAAACATTACCAGTTCTAGAACTAAAAAATCTACAAAATATAAAAAAAATGGTTTAAACATGAGCCTATACTACTGTTTAAATTTTTACAGTTTGCAAGGAAAGTGAATCTGTGGTGACAGGACTGCAATCTGGCTCAGATACTAAACACATCAAGCATCTAAATTTAATCCTCATCTATGCAATCTTTAAAAAGGATCTGACTTCTATTAGAAGGCAACAGTCAAGGCTTGCTACTCTATGTTCTCTTATGCCTCTTTTATAAGT